GCTGGGGGTCACAAACTGCCCGGCTGCATTTTGGGGCTGGGGGGGTGGAGGGGGTGCGGGGGAGAAGCCGGGCGCGGAAAAAGAGCAGCCGGAAAATCGAAAGGGAGAGAAGGCGGGGCGGGGGGGCCGGCGGCAGAACCGGACGGAAAAGGCGCGTTCTGCCCCAAAATCGCCCGCGCTCGGCCCGGATGGGGCCGGCAGGGCCCGGAGCAACGGGAGCGGCCCGGGGGAGGCGCGGTTCGGTTCCCCCCCCCCTTCCGGTCCCCCCCCTTCCTTGTCCTTTTCCTTCGCTTTTTTTTTTTTTCCCTTCCTCCCTTTAAGCGCCAAACGCCGTGCCGCGAAATTCGGATTTCCCGCGGAAAATGCCGCGCGTTGATTGGTTGCGGCTGCCGAAGCCCCGCCTCCCGGCAGCCCGCGGCGCCCGGCGGGGGAGGGCCTTAAAGGGGCCGCGCAGAGAGGGAGGGGCAGGTATTCATATGCAAATCAGGGGGCGGGACCTCATTTGCACCACCTGCTCGGGGTCCGCGGAAGGGATCGGGATCGGAACCGCGACTGAATTATCTTTTTTTCCCTTCCTTTTAAGTCCCCCCCCGAACTCCGTGAGTTCCTACCCAGGGGCTGCGCATCTCCCGCCCGCCCCAAACGCAGCGCAGGGACTGGGGGGAGCCGATGCTCTGTGCTGAACAGGAACCTGAGGGAGGGACTCAGCGTCAGATGTGACCCCATGATCCCAAATCTCAGTAGTTTCACCCAAAATTGACCCACAGTTTAATCCTGAGGCTGCTCAACATCTACATTCCTTCCATGGAATACGTTCTCCTCCTCATCCTCTTCTTCCTTCTCTTCTTCCTCCTCCTTCCCCTCCTCGTCAATATCACCCTTTTCATCGCTGCACCCCACTCCCATGCTGGGGAAGCCCAGCCTTTGGCTGGTATCGTTCACACCCACTGAAGATTTTTCTTGCAAATCAGCCACCTCCAAGCCCAACACACGGACATGAGCACCTCCCAGCACCACAGCCCCTGCTGCAGACGGGGGACCCAGCTTAGGGAGACACCCAACATCTTGTCCTGATCCTCCAACCTGGAGCAGACATTTGTCTACAGCAGCCCTGGGACTTTGGGGCAGCACACAAAGCCACCAAGCTGCCAGCACTGCAGGACACCGTGTCCCTCTGCCAGCAGCACGGCACGGCTTGGCAGCTCAGCTCGCCCAGACCTCCACCTCCCCACCATGGGGAGATGGCAACTGCTGCCAATTTCAGCCAAATTGGGGCCGTCTGGGGAGATGTCAGCCCTCAGGATGGGGATGGGGGGGTGTGGAAAAGGCTGGGGCTGGCAGGCTGTGCCCTCACTCTGTACTCCACAGAGGAACCCCTCCAGTTCCTGCTCCATCTCACCTTCAGTTGTTCATTTAGGGAATGCATCATCATGGACAACAGCAAGGTGATAAATGTCGATCCCATCCCTGCCATAAAGATGATGCAGAGAAGGATCAGCACAAGGAGGGACACCAGGAAGAAGTGGAAGATGTTCCAGCAGTGCTGTGGGGTGAGGAGGGGGCTGAGTGCCACCCCATGTGAGGGTCACCAAAGAACCACAGAATATCCCCAGTGGGATCCATAGGGATCGCTCAGTGCAGCTCCTGGATTCACACGCAGCACCATCCGAAATCTAAACCGTGTCTGAGAGAGGCTCTTCCCTCTCTGCCCTGGAGACGGCAGCAGAGGGCTGAGAACCGCTTCGGAACGGCGGGGGAGCGGGAAGGGACGGACGGACGGAAGGACACAGGGATGGACAGACAGAGGGATGGAAGGATGGAGAGATAGAGGGACACAGACATGGAAGGACAGAGGGATGAAAGGATGGAGGGACGGAGAAAGACAGGGAAGGAAGGACGGAGGGATAGAGGGACGGAAGGACAGAAGGATGCACGGATGGAGGGACAGAAGAAGAGAGGGACAGGACATGGAGATGGAAGGACAGAGGAATGGAGGGACACAAGAACAGCGGGATGGAAGGACAGAGAGATGGAAGGACAGAGGGATGGAGGGACAGAGGGGTGGAGGGACACCGGGATGTGGGGATGGAGGGACAGAAGGATGGAAGGATGGAAGGATGGAGGGACATAGAGATGGAAGGACAGAGGGACACGGGGACAAAGGGATGCACTGATAGAGGGATGGAAGGACAGAGAGATGGAAGGACAAAGGGACATGAAGATGCAGGACATGGAGATGGAAGGACAGAGGGATGGAGAGACATAGGGATGCAGGGACACAGGGATGGAAGGATAGAGGGATGAAGGGATGCAGAGGCGCAGGGGCACAGAGGCACAATAATAGAGGGATGGAAGGAAGGGGAGATGGAAGGACTGAGGGAAACAATGATGTGGGGACACAGGGATGGAAGGAAAAGGGACACAGGAATGGAGGGACACATAGAGGGAGGGGGGGACTAAAGGACTCAGGGACTTGTAACACACAAGGAGGCAGTCGGAGAGGGGCAGGGACAGGGGGTGCACATGTGGAGGGATGTGGGGATGGAGAGGTGCTGAAGGTCTCCCTCCTGCCTGTCTCATCACAGCCCTCACCTCCCAGCACAACCAGAAACCTCTGTGCCAGTGGGGCACAGGGCAGGACCGAGGGACACGTGGCCTCCACCCCAGGGCACCAACAGGGTCCCCAAGAGTGCAAACCAGAACACCTGGTGGGTTCTCCAGCAGCTGATATGCACAGCCTCCCTGCCCAGATGGGAACGTGGTGCTCAATGGGGCAATGCTACTCCCACAAATGGAGCTGTGGGGTTTTACAGCCCCAAAAGAGATGGGGAAAAGGTGAAGGTGAGGGAAAGATGGTGGGGGTCACCACCTCCATGGGCTTTGAGGTACTGATCAGGATCGTCCCCATGTCAGTGGTGATGAGCATAGACATGATAAACTTGATGCTGGGGTGGTTGAGGAAACAGTCCAGGCTTATCTTGGAGATGTATTCCCAGTTGTCCCAGGAGTCCTGGAGTGGGGACACAGCAGGAAGCCTGGGGGTGTCCCCACATCCAATGGGCTGCAGACGTGGCCCCACTTCAAACCCATCAGCGGTGGCTGCAGTGAGGACACGAGGAGGGGTGAGATTGGAAGAGGCAGAGCGGCAGCACGGAGGTGAAAGGGTTAATGTGGAGTCTCAAACTGGTCAGGCTCCAGTGTGGAGCCAGAGGGACGCTGGTGGAAAAGGACAGGAGACGTGGGACACGTGCCAGCACTCCTAGAGCCGTGCTGCTCCAGTGTCACCAGGAGCATTCCCAGCTATCCCAGCAGCATCCCTCCCCTGTCCCAGCCTGCTTCCTCAAGCTGCACATGGGGAAACTGAGGCACAGGGGAGCTCAGGGACACAAAGCTCTTTGTGGCCACCCCCAGCCCCACCACGGGGCCAACATGCCCCACATCCCCCCTCCTGATGCTCCCCATCCCCATGTCCAACAGGGCCCTGGATGGTTCCCACACCGAGGATGATGATGGAGGAGGGGCAGTTTGGGTTGCCCTGTGTGACCGAGAAGGCTTGAGCCCACCACAAAGCTCCATGTGCAATTAAACCCATTAATTAGCAGTAACGAACCTTCCTTTCTCTTTTCCAGCTTTTGCTTCCCTGTTACCTCTGCAAACGTTGAGGCTGCACGTGGGGTCCATTTGGTCTTGGGGTGGGGGGCCTGAGGGGAAAGAGCAGCTTTGGAGCAGAGCTGGAGCCCAAAATACAGCAGTGGCCACAAGTGCTGACGGCAGTGTAGCTGCCCCTGCTGGATGCACGTGTGCACACGCGTGTATGTGCACACGTATGTATGCATGTGTGCATGAATGCATAGGGCTGCACGCGTGGGGAGGGGTGCACAGGGAGGGGTGCACACTTATGGGGTGTGTGAGCCCCTATTAAGGCTGTGCACACTTATGGGGTGTGTGAGCCCCTATTAAGGCTGTGCACACGCGTGTGCTGCTGGTGCTCCCATTCATGGGGTGTGCACACACGCGTGCTGTCCTGCAGCCGCAGTGCATTTGTGCACGTATGTGCACGCACACGTGTGTGCCAGCACAGCACGCTGGTGGCTGCCGCCCTGCTGCAGCAGGCATTTGCAAGGGGAAAAGCGCACGCAAGCACACATAAAAACACGACTGCATGAAGGCACACACACACACACAGCCCCAACCCCCTCGTGCAAACCCACGCGCGTTGCACCCCGAGCCGCGCAGCCGTTCACGAGGCCACGCGTGTGCCGCTTCCCAGCTCTGCTGGGCTCGCTGGCTGCGGGCCGGGAGGCCTTGGCCGGGCCGGCAGAGGGAGGAGGAGGAGGGAAGTGCGGCTCAGACAGCGCGGCGCCAGCAAACACCTGCAAACAGCTCCGGGCACACAATGGCAAATACAGGTGGGGAACCGCCGGAGCGGCCCCGTCACGCCGCCGATTGCATCAGACTGCAGGCTGCCAGGAGCCGGCCCGGCCACGGCACCGCTCGGGGCCGCGTTCCCAGAACCCCCCCTTACCTCCACCCCCCCATCCCCCCCTTTTTTTCATATATTTTCTTGCTCCGTTCCCATCCCCGAGATGAAAGCGGAGCGCATCGCAGCACCCGCGAGTTGATGGGGTTGGCCAGAAATGTGCTCCTCCGGTCCGTCCCAGCCCCCCGATTTGGGGAAAGAGAGGGGAGTTGGGGGGGGGGGGGGGCTATTTTTAGCATTTTATTTTAAAAAATTGGGGGGAAAAAAAAAATCCTGTTGCTTTTCCATGGAACGCACTGCGGTGCTGCACGGTGTGTGGCTGGGGACCCGGCACAGCGTCTGTCCCCACTACTTGGTGGGGGGGGGGGGG